GTGTGTGTGTGTGTGTGTGTGCACATATTTTACAAATTAAATAGAGTAAACAATAAATAAAATATATAAAAATATACAGAGTTGAGACATGTGCAAAACAGTGGCATTACTGTACAGTATGGAATATGGCATAGGTTGTCTATGAGAGACTGACCAGCTTGTTAAAGCTCTGGGGAAACTGTTGAAGCTGATGTTGCAGCTTTAACAGTACAAAAAATCCTACATGTCTTTATTGTACGGTTGCAAGATCTTTATTTGGTGGTGACTTAGTGGTTTCAGTATCAAGGCTTTGTTATTGGGTTGTTTAGCTTGTTAAGTAGTTGCATTTCTGATATTGATCCTATGTAACAAGTAACTCCATCAGTGGACTAAAGCTTTGAACAGTATCGTAAAGTAAATATTTCTGTTAATCTGAAATAGTAACAAAAATCTATTTGTGTAGTGTGAAGGCATCGAGTATGATCACAAATCCAGCACAGAGGCTCTGCCAGGTGTCTTCGAGAACACCGCTGTGCATGTAAAGCTCACTGCTCATCCATGTTTGAGTTATTTTAACAACTGCTACACACCTGAAGCGTTACCCCCTTCAAAGCGTGTAACGTTTAGTTACAGCAGACCTTCCCAAAGTGTGGGGTGCAGAGCCATTGCAGGGGGGGGGGTATGAAAGGGGGGGACGCTTGGACACTGCTAGCACGGGGCGCCCACACAAACGCAAAGCAGGAGATGAAGCGTCGCTGAATATGTTGTGGTGAAGCAAATCTTCCCTTTGGCTTCACCTGCACAGGTGCTGAGGTAGGTCTCCCTGCAGGGTTGGTTTTCCCTGCGTCTTGAGCAGCGCTGGGCTGTTCAAATCACGGACAAACAGGATCCCACATCCTTGATCTTTAGTTCACAAACACTTGTTGTAATGACTAACTGCTCCTGACATGTTGGAGATGTTTGCTCTTTATACGGACAAACAGGATCCCACAGCTGTTTATGTTTTTAAACCCATTTTGCACAGAGAGACATTTTTGAAAAATGTATTGACAGCAATGTTGAACATTATCACACAGGAAAAACAAGTACATGTAAAATAATCACACGGTGACGCCTCTGCCTTTGTAAATGGAGGGACAGTAACTGCGTGTAAACCTGCAGACAGTCAGATTAACAGCATTTAGTCTCTATCATTCTGCGATTCATAAACAATAACGTGGCCACAGCCTGACGTGAAAAAAGTTACATACCTTTGACGTTGTGTGACCAACTCTGTATTCCTCGTCCACACGGAAACGCAAAAATTTCGGAATTTCGGTGAAATGTACAAATTTATACCTGCTGATAAGAAAAAAAAGGACAAAAACGGGTAAAAACTGGGTAAAAGTTCTGTTGTTATTCATTTAATGTTCCCCAATACATGCAGCATCCATATAACGTTGATTTCACCTGGTTTCAAACAGTGATGTTGCATTTTATCACTGACAGACTCTCTGCTTGACCAAAACACCAAATTCCCAAATAGACAAACACTGCTAGTTCTGATTAAAATGTGTTATTATTGGGATCAGTCGTCTGTAGACGAACCCCGGCATCGGCCAGTTTTCCAGATGATTCCCTATTGTTAGTATTATTTAATAACTCATAACGTATTATTATTTAAAGCTAACTCAGCTACTTGTAAGAGCTTACCTGGATGTCTGTGAAATCCAGAGATGGAATCAAACGCAGCACGATGGTAACCGTACTCAATGTGTAAACACATTTAAAAGGCTAAAAGTTAACCTGATCTTCAGTTTCTTCATGTTTTTGGTTGATCTGAGGAAAAGTACATCACAGCGGTGTTTCCTGTCACACTGAGCTGCCGTACGCTAATGTTTGCAACACAAAAACGATTCAGTACAGATTAGTACGCACATGAATGATGTATTTCTCTCAGTGCCGGATTAGCTATGAACAGAGATCCTGAAAACTGATTCTGCATTTCTGTGTTTTCTCTGTTTCAGACTGGGACTAGTTTCCACGTGTTTGACCAGGGTCGCTTTGCTAAGGAGGTTTTGCCCAAATATTTTAAACACAACAACATGGCGAGCTTCGTCCGGCAACTCAACATGTGTGAGTTTTTCCTCTCCTCTCCTCTCCTCCATTTATTTATCAGTCCTACTTTTTGCTTATAGATGGTTTTCGTAAGGTGGTAAACATTGAGCAGAGTGGTTTGGTGAAACCTGAGAGAGACGATACAGAGTTCCAACATCTGTACTTCCTCCAGGGACATGAGCACATGCTGGAACACATCAAAAGAAAGGTATGGATGCAGATAGGAGCAATGTCTCTGAAGGAGTTCTTCATTATGCTAAATTGTTTGTTTTCCTTCATAAAAATTATTAAGATCCAGTCCAGATGCTTTTCTTTTCAAGCTCCTTAGACGACGCTTCTATCAAAGCCAATAACAGTGTGGTGCTTTGACCAAAGTCCAAGACCTTGCTGTTGGTCCAGTTAGGTGAAGCTGCACGTTTAGAGAGGGGTGTTGCACAAAAAAATTATTTCTCTCTTACAAAAAGACATCTGAGAAACAGAAATCATTGTTTTCTTTTTACATCAGTCTGTAACAAACCATCTCCCTCAGCTCTGGACATCCAGTGACAACATCATACTTCAAGAGTTCAGGCGCAGCTTTTTTCACTGAACACTGTTCAAATTTTCACATAACGGAGATTTAAAAACGTGACATGAAAACACAGCACTGGTGTAGTTTGTGGACATGAACTACCATTCGTGTAAAACGTCCGTAGAACTGTAGTTTTTCTGTTGTCATAAATTAATTCTATGCCAAAGTTCTTATGATTTATCTTAACATATAATTCAAATCATTCAAAAATGAGAAATGTGATTTTTCCTTTGCATTTGTGGGAAAGTGAGAAAAATGGACCAGATATTGATGCTTGATAATTGCTGGAGTTATTCATCATTTGAGGTGTTTTTACCTGAACACACAACATCAATGTTAGTTTGGAAATGAGTTACCCAGAATGCATCATGTTTTCAGGTGTCCATAGTGAAGAGTGAAGAGACTAAAGTTCGTCAGGAGGACCTCAGTAAGCTGCTGTACGAAGTCCAGCTTCTCAGGACACAACAGGACAACATGGAGTGTCAGATGCAGGACATGAAGCAGTGAGTACAGGACGTGTGCGTCTGTGTGTGTCTGTGTGTGTCTGTGTGTGTCTGTGTGGGTCTGTGTGTCTGTGTGTGTCTGTGTGGGTCTGTGTGTGTCTGTGTGTGTCTGTGTGCGTCTGTGTGTGTCTGTGTGTGTCTGTGTGGGTCTGTGTGT